CGTCGTCTGGCTGGTAAGGGGGCGCCGGGGGTGCGGGGCGCCGAGGTCCGGGAAGGCTGGCACCTGCTCCTGCCTCGGCCCCAGAGCCGCCTTCGAGCAAGCAGAGCCTGGCTGTGGTGGGTGCGCCACCCCCTGGGTCTCCGTTTGTCCGCAGGAAGTTCGGGAGCCCACCGGGTTGTTGGAGGATCAGACGCGCCCACCATGGCTTAGAGCAACCACATGCCAGGCCCAGTCTGCGCCCCGGGGTTCAGCCCCCAGCCCGCAGCTTTGATCAGAGGTGGCTGTGGATGAAGTCAGCAGAGACCATGGGGTCCCAGGCCGGAAAGGCCTTTGCAAATGTGACTCCCCACTCCCTCCTCCTGCAGGACAGACGGAGGGCAGAAGGGGCAGTGTCCAGCCTGGCTCACCCACTCAGGGCTGGGCACCCTCTCCCTGGGAGGGCAGGCCAATGGGAGGGCCTCTGTTCCCAGCTCATTGTCTTTCTCCTAACAGACATGCTTGAATGTTGGATCTGCTGGCATGTGGCTGCAGTGACCCCCAGAAGGTTGTCCCTCCCACATAGAAAGCCCCAGGAGGCCGCTGGTATGGGGTCACATCTCTGCTGTTCCCATGGCCTTTCCCTCATGGTGAAAGCCGTATTCAAGGCAGGAAGAGGGAGAAAAAGGGGTGACACCACATCTACCGGCCCCTTCTATCAGGAAGGCAGAACCTTCCCAGAAGAGCCCCTTCCATCTCACTGGCAGGCCGGGCCACGTGGCTGTCCCAGGTGCACGCAGTTCAGCGTGAGCCTGTAGGCCCACTGGGTGCTGTGGACCAGATCCCACCAGTGCCCTCACAGAGGGGCAGCTGAGGGCCCGTGAGGAGGGCCGGCTGGAAGTCGCCCCTATGGTGACCAGCAGGACGGTGCCCCAACCCTGGGATGACCAGGCTGCAGTCCAGCACTCTGGCCAGCCTTGGTCAGTGGACCCACTTCCCAGCACCCCTGTGTCTTTGCGCTGGAGCCGGGATCAGGACGCAAACACCTGGTGCCAGGATGTCCTTTCTCCCCTCTCTCTCTCCCTCCCTTCATCAGCGAACATCTCTTTACTGTCCCTTAGGTGCTGCCCAAGGTGGCTTTTCATTTGATGTGTGAAACCAGCCCCTGGGGGTGTTTAGCTTAAATTAAACCATAGAGCTCTCTTCCTTCCAACGCTGCCTGAGGCTCATATGCGGATCCAGCTTGGTCCCTGGAGCTTCCAGCCCTGAAGCAGACGTGGTCGCCTGCAACCAGCCTCAGCAAGTTGGTTCCCTCTTCCTCAGGTCACCTTCACAGACGTAGGCCTGACGGCGCGGGATAATGAGGGGGCCACCGCCCTCCACTTCGCAGCCCGAGGCGGCCACACGCCCATCCTAGATCGGCTTCTGCTGATGGGTGCTCCCATCGTGAGAGACTGCTGGGGTGGGACCCCCCTCCACGATGCAGCGGAGAACGGGCAGATGGAGGTAAGGCAGCTGCTGGGGGTGGTGCACGCTGGGTCCCACAGTGCTTACTAGGCCCGGACACTTCCTGAATGAGTCAGTGAACCCTCCCAGCAACCCTGCAGGAGGAGAGACGCGGTTATTCCCCTCTTATAGATGGGTGAACTGAGGCTCAGACTGGCCCTTGCCCAGGGCCCAGACTCTGATGTATCTGGGAACAAAATCCATCTCTCCCCTCCGCCTGCGGGCCCCTCCCTTTGCACCGAGGCTCCCTAGGTGCCTGCTCTGGGACTGGTCTTCCTGCTGGTCCTCCCAGGGTGGCCTTTTAGCTTCAGGCCCCCTCTGTCAGAAGGCTGTGCGCAGAGACCTGCCAGGGGTGTGGCATTAACACCTTTGCTGTGATCCAGAGAAGCCTTGAGGGCTCACACGGCCCGTCCCCAGGGAACAGCATCCAGAGACCCAGAGTAGGCAGGATGGTGTTCAACGCTGGGAATGGACCCGGCCATCGGGTCCTGCACTGGCGCCACCTGCCTGCCGACCTCACGTAGAGGCATCTGAGGGAATACAGAGGTTTCCTCCTCCACCCGCCCCAACCAGGCCACACAGCAAGGACTCCAAAGCAAGTCGGCTCATCCCCAGGACGTCTCCTGGGCGTTCCCACGGCCCCCAGGGCTCAGGTGCTGCCGTCTGGAGCCGTGAGAATTGTGCTCGCGGCCCAGGAAAGGCTAGTTGAGAGCGAGTGTTTTATTGAGGTGCAACTGAGTGTCCCATTTTGGGCCTACGGTTCCGGACGGCTCTTTCCAACGGGAACCCAAAGTGCTCCTGGGGCCCAGCTGGTCCAGTCAGAGCAGCGTTGAGTAAAAGAAGCGCAGGGCAGTGATCAAGAGTGCCCGGAAGGCACTCGGTCCTTCTGAAGAATCAGGAGACCCAATCCCAGCTCACAGCAGCGCTCCCGAAAACTTGTCCTCTGACTCTCAGGAGTCCTGAGGCCCCCTCCTGCCCACCCCCACCTCCTGCTCCCTGCTCCATTCCCTCCTGCTCCTCTCCATCTCCTCCTGCTCCTCCCCCACCCCTCCTGCTCCTCCCTCCACCCCTTCCTGCTCCCTGCCCCAACTCCCTCCTGCTCCACAGTGTGCATATGCCATATTATCTTTATCCATTCATCCGTCAAGGGACATTTGGGTTCCAACTTTGGCTCTTGTGAAGAATGCTGCGATGAACATGGTGTGCAAGTACCTTTTCAAGGCCTTGCTTTCTACTTTGATGACCTTTTAAAACGTTAAACCAACCTTGCTTCCTTGGAGTAAACTCAAGTTGGTCACAAAACATGATCTCTTTTACGTATAAGTGAATTTGATTTGCCAACATTTTGTTTAGGATTTTAGGTGTGGTATACAGCACTGGTGAGATGGTTCTTAAACTTGGCTGTACGCTGGGACTCTTCATAACAGGTTTAAAATACTCTAATACCTGGGCTCCAGCAACCCCCGAGTTTCTGGTTTAATTGGTCCTGGAGAGCCCAAGACGTTTTAATTTTATATTACTATTTTTTAACAGAGGTACTGGGGATTGACCCCAGGACCTCATGCGTGCTAAGCAGGCACTCTACCACTGAGCTATGCCCACTCCCCTATCAAGACTTCTTGAAACGCCTTAGGTGATTCTAATATACCATCAAACTGGAGAGCCATCTGTGTGAACAGCATTAGCTGAGCTAATCTAGAAGGATTCATAGAGTTGGTCATTTTCTTTTTGAGTCACATGGCCTTATTGGAAGACAGTCATTTTTAAAGCAGTGATCTGAATGTGGGAAGGAGCAGGGCTTCCAGCAAGGGAGAGAGGATTGGAAGCCATCAGAGTGCCAGGACAGCCGAGGGCGGAGGCTGCAGCTTGTAGTGAGAGGTCAGCGGTGGGAAGCCTTGAAGCCTGAACTAGCTGTAATACTGCGTAGAGAGGCGCTTTGAGCTGCTGTGGGATCACGAGGAGAGGCGTAGGGTTCCTTACTGTGGAGGAGGGCACGCGGTGGAGGGGGAGCCGCCGTAAGATGGGGTGTGGTCTGGGGCTTCGCCGACAAGGTTGAAGAGGAAACAGCAGAAGCCAGTGTAAACGAGATTCCTTCAAGGTGTAGATACGTGGTTTTAACTCACTGGTAGTTCTCCACCTAACTTAAAGTTTCTGCTAACTCAAGAAGGGGTGTTTACTGGGTATTGTGAGTCCCTAAAAAGCACTCTGAGCACAGATGCCTCTGTCGACTTTCTGTGCCTACACGAGGCGTCCGTGTCCTGCTGGTTCATTCATCAGAGCCTTTCACGTCCAACCATTCATGTCCACACTTGGCTTGACTCAGAAACTCACCCATCCAACAAATAGATACTGAGCACTTGCTTAGAACGTAACCAAGGATTCGAGAACCAGAGAGTATTTGAAATAGATGAGTGGTGGGTTTTGAAAATTTCGGGGCTGTTTCTGTTGCTGGTCTGTTTTTGGGGTGCTCACATGGTGGGGGACGGGTGGTCTGCTATTCCAGGACGGTCCTGCACAATGAAGAAAGGTCTCATGCCCCACGAGACTTCCCAATGGATCAGCCGTGCATGTAGGTAGAAAACCTGTTCATAGTTATCTGAGCTTTGGACCCAACTCAAGTATATGTAATTACCTAAGCTTAGAACCTAAATTGAAATGTAGGTACACGTACACACCAACATTTCTTTGTAGTTTAATGTACTTAAGACTTTCCCAGGAAAGGTCCCGCTGTTCACACTGAGGGAAGACAGCATTTTGCTTTATTTAGCACTTCACCAAGAATTATTCGCCAGTTGGGAAAATGACATCACTGATGGCAATACTGAACCTGACGCTTGAGTCTTTGGCCGTCTGAGTTTTGACTGTTGAATTTGCAATGATGCTACGAAAGACTAGTTAAAGGATGATTTTTGAAACTGCAGGTAATGATGACTCTCATTCAACTCTGAAATGAGCCTGTGTCCAGGTTTTTATTTCACTCATTCACTAATAAGGAAACCATTAATCCAAAGTGATAGTATGTGCCTTTTCAAATTAGAGCTTTCATCTTTTCCAGATGTTTGCCCAGGAGTGGGATTGCTGGATCATATGGTCACTCTACTTTAAGCTTTTTAAGGAACCCCCATACTGTCCTCCACAGTGGCTGCACCAAACTGCATCCGCACCAGCACCCTTTTCTCCACAGCCTCTCCAGCATTTATCACTTGTGAACTTTTTGATGATGGCCATTCTGACATCTGTGAGGTGATACCTCGTTGTGATTTTGATTTGCATTTCTCTAATAATTAGCGATGTTGAGCATCTTTTCATGTGCCTGTTGGCCATCTGTATGTCTTTTTTGGAGAGATGTCTATTTAGTTCTTTTGCCCATTTTTTGATTGGATTGCCTTTTTTTTTTTT